ATCGTGTTTTCAAGTGACTCCCTCTTCATAAGTGTTAGATCGTGACTTGATGAAGTCGGTTACCAACTGAGTTTGTTTATCTTCATAAACATTTACTACACAGTGAAAAAAATCGCTTACAATTGGAACATGAACGAATCATATACAAAGAACTGAGAGTCAATCCTATACTAGTGATACGGAAAATCGAGTTATTATTTTCTTTATTTTCTTTTTTACCACAAAACCTTAATTGGATTAACATGATACACCGCATACTACGCGGTTACAAGGCCAAGTTTACCCCCCTAGCAGTTTTAGCAGACTAAAATCGCTATTCTTCAGTAGAAACAAAGGATTCAATATATTAAAACAAACAAACGAACTTGTACAGGAAAACCAGAGTTTCCGATTGATTTTATTGAATTCTAAAGCTACAATGACCCCTGCACTTCCGAACAAGTCGAAAGCCAATAGTCGAAAGTGAAATGGAACGATCACAACGCGCTTTTTGTTAATCATTTCGCGAAAAAGAACACTTGATCCACGCATGAATCAACTAAGATATGAATCAATTTCTTAAAAAAACAAGTATAATTGGGCAATTATTATAGCCAAGGAATGCTGATAGAGAGAGTTGTTTGACGTGTCATATTGGCTGTTGCTATGGTAATCGTAAAAGCGCGCACATCCGTAACACGTTAGGCAGARAGAAATGAGATCACGGCAAATGCTGCAACGTGACATTAGACTCGCGCTGTAAACGCGGAAATCGATCGAGGCACGTGATAGTGAACACGTCATCAGCCTTGTCCAAACACGGGACAGTAGCACATGATAGCTTTGTGTGCAGTATCATAACGCAATAAATTGTTTGCGGTTTGTGACTTTTGGCTCTATTCGCGCTGTTAGAGCTCTTCCTTGCAATAGCATGTACAGGTGCTTCATGAAGTGTGTCTGGGGGCTTGAGATCACAATTACCATGAGAATGGTAATTAATAAGATTAATTATTAGTCATGTACAAACATCAATAATTGAGCCGAAAGTACAAATTGATTTCGTCAATGTTGTCAAAATAAATTAAAGGTTTTCGCCCTTTATGTAACGGTGAATTTTGAACGACAACACATCAAGCTACTTTTGCGACGTTTTTGTACTCTCAATGAGCTTAAGGCCAACTCATAAGATAGTCTGCAAAGTGAAGATTATAACAATTTAGATCAAATGAGCTTGAGGATCGTTAATTCACCCTCATCGTCATGACGCGCGATTACTGCATCGTTAAGCTAGTAGTATAATTGTTTAAACGACCCTATAAACATCACATACAATCAATATAAGTAACGGGTATGGTTAAACGTCAGTTAACTACTGTTGCAAAGCGCTCAAACTGACTTTTATGATGACTAATTGAGAGTTTATTAAGTCCTTAATGTCATTAAAGCCCAATAATCATAACAATTTAACACAGCGATCATAGATATTGAATAAAGTTAGGAAAAATGCCTTTAATTATTGTGAACTGATAAGTGAATATCACCTATTTTCGGACTATTAGTTAATTATGACCGGCACACTAAAAACACTCTTAAGCCCCTTTAGATGAACTGTTTGTTAAGTAAAGTACATTACTATATCAATTTGCGCAAACTTTAAAGGGCTACCAGGATGAGAAATGATAAAACATTGGAAAAGGCACGAAATGCTTGTAGACTTAATAAGGGTCCTATAATCACGAAGGCAACGTATTTTGTCTCAATTTCTTAGGAATTTTGTCAAAAAATGTTGGAGCAAATGACTGCTTTAGGATGACTCCATAACAAAACCTTTCTCTGGGAAGGTATAATAGCTATGAATGAGTCATATATTTGAATTACCCAGCGTTTTGAAATTAGGACTTTCTCGTGAAAGTAGCAAACTATCGAAACACTAGGAAATGATGAGAATTTTACAGTGAACAAAACATAATATTATCACCAATACAAATAAAATTACGCAAATACATTACTAATATTGATCATGTGTTCTTGCAGTCGTTCGAGCAAAGATCACGTCTGCTGTAAAGTTCGAAATACCCGACCTTCCCGATACTCCGACACCAGTGGTCCAAAAACCCGACACCCGGGGCAACAACAAAACAAAGAAACCCAAAAAAGACGTTAGCCCTGATCCACTGCGTCAAATAGCACCAGAACCTCGTGTTCGCCGTTCTCTTGCCGCTCCATCTGGTCTTGGTGGTGGTTTGCCTGGACGAGGGTATTACCCGGTACCTCAGTACCAAGACGTTACTATTAAACGTATACTCAAGGGCGTTGGTCAAGTGGAAAATACCGTGGGGATGACAGTCCAGGGAAAAAACACTACAAAACATACCCGATATGTTGGCCGGGTATACATCAGAAATCCGGGATTCCGACTAATGCCTGGTAAATGGTACCTACTATCTGGAATTATCATTCAGAATAAACTATGGGTATCGTTTTGTGATATACACCAAGAATGGCAGGCTCTTAACCTCGACCAGCTTCATAATCTCAGAAAAGACTTTATCCATGGTTGTAAGAAATGCCGTATACAATATTGCCATCCGAGAGACCCGGGATGCGAGAAACGTAACAATAGGATGGATGTTTGCTCGTGGAGACCCGATAGCTATTTGCCTGCTGCAGACTGTAGTGTCAAGCACAGCTCATGCCGGGCCATTAAGGGTAAATGTCAATGGAAACACAGTCCAAGATTTGCCAAGTGTAAGCAGAGTAAACAAAGCAAGCTTCCATGAAACTAGTTGCTTAAGCACTAGTCATTAGAAAGACTGTTTTAAAGACTCTTATCATATATAGRGAACTTTTTTTATTGACTTCAATACATATCTAAGGTAGATTAAGTCAACTGTTTCGTACGTCAGAGATTGCTTATATATATCCTTATTCATCTATTATGTACGTAGCTTTTTGGTTAAGTATTTATCATTACATTGTCGCGCTCTACATATGTTCTATTCGGTCAAAGAACTGCAGTAAAAAATATCGAGAACACTTGTGACTTGAGATACAAGGTAGATTTATGAGCGACATGCCAAGGACACATGTCATCGACTCACTCTCGCATTCATATGCATAGGTATAGCCTATAGGTCGAATGTCTTTTTGGTAATTCATATAAAGTAAGTAAAGCTCTTCACTGACAGCCCGTGTTAGTATACTAAAAAACGGGCTTGTTTTGTGCGTAGCATATCGGGCAGAGAGTCAGTTTTTTTAGAGGGAGTGTCCCCCATTACTGACATACTTATAGTAACTATGGTTTGCCAAAGTTAAATTTCGGTCTTCCTCCTCCTGAAAAGGATTCTAGTGTAGTTGAGATCACAGTGATCTTTCGAACGAAAAGGTTTTACAGACGAATACACAGTAACACCAGCACATAAGAACAGCCATTCAAGCTGGCGCTCTTCATTGTGATTATAGTTTTTACTTGCGGGTTTTTACTGTAAGTCGACTACAACCTTCCTGGTGTAGGTAAAATAGCAAGATATATATAACGTACATGACTTATCAATTTAAAATAACAAAAATCAAGTAAGAAAATTCGAAAATCGAATAAAACTAGTGGATGTATAAAATATGAAACTCGATTTGAAAAAATAAATGTATACACAACACTAATTAATGCAATTAATAAAATCCATTTATTCCAAAAAACTGAGTGAAAATCTTGTAGCGACGCAAAGTAGTTGAGTGGCCAGAGGAAAATTGTCTGAAACATTCATTCCTTTATTTTTGATTCAATGCCCCGGAATGCTAGTTGAATTTGATTTTCCGTTTGTAGAAACTCAGGGCGTGTCTTGACGTTTTGAAACAGTAGCCCGACTAAGAGTATACTTCGATATTTCTGTTTTTTTAACACTTATATATCATAAATGTTGAGTCAAAAGAGGTTTGTCCATTTTACCAAGAATCAGGGGTCAGTGAAGTTCAAGATGGTGTGCATGTTTGTTAAGTGTTGCGATCAACATCATATCTCTCATGTAGCCTTGAACGTGATCAATGAAATGACATTAAATAGCAATAAAGTTTCCAATGATACCATTAGTGAAGTAATAAAGGATCGATCGGATGTTCTAGAATTCCTAACGATTCGAATTCCAAGGCTTGAGCCACGGAAGTAATCGCGCTCAACAAAGTGCGCGTGCAACTTTACACGATGGAGACTTTGAAGTTCCCGGCGAAATAGAACACCACGAGGCCTACGCCTTTGATGTGCAATGATTGCTGGGGTATGTTTTACGGAACAAAAAAGTCTGAAATGAAATCGATTAAGGGGTCTCCAGCTGCGCTTATAACAATACAACAACTTATTAAAGCTGACTTTCTGATTTAATAATTTAAAGAGCGATTTGCGCAGTCTCCCGCAGAGAGGCAGGTACCATAGTCACAGAACGCTTGCTATGGCATCAAACTGGATTTATACAACGAGTTGATTTTTAAAGTCCTAATGATAACAAATATCTCTATTGTATGAAGATTTTTTTAAAGCTATACGTTTAACAAGAAAGTCTTATGTATATTAAAAAGGAAAACTTGTTTTTTTGACATGTGGGAAGCTACCTGTTTTCATTGCTGACAAGTTATCAATAGACCGTCTACACTAGATGATGCTTTCGTACATATTTTCCTTGATCTCCGTCTAAAAATCAAATAATAGATTATGATATTGTTCACAATAATGCGTAAACGCATCATTGTGAACGACATATTAATCTACTTGAAGCCAGTAAACACTGTAAGTATCGGTCTGTCTTTATATGTACGCGTATTTACGCAACGTCCGCACTTAGTGCGTTCCCGTGCGTATTTTTCTTGTTTTCCGTCGAAAAACTCACCGAAACCGCATCAATTTAGGACAGCATTTAAATCTATTATAAACTTTTCTAGGTACGCGCAAGTTAGAAACCAGGGTCCGCACAACATAAATTTTATTGTACTGATTTTACTCCGATCTTTTCCTTTGAGTAGCGCTAATCGCCTTTACTGCAAGCGGCCTTTAGTCTTAACCTCCTCAAGTCTGTAAGCARGATATACGCGTTGTCCTGAGTTCTTCTACCTTCTTAATTAAAATCACACAGCGTTAAAATCACTTCCACGTGACCAAAACGRTGATTACGGTGAAAAGCTTAACAGGCGGACGTAGTTAACAAGTCTGGCTTTAATTAATACAAATACCTTTTGTAAGTAGTTTAAATTCGTTGGTTTTCTGTAGTTCTTTGTGTGGAGTTTCCATTTAGACCAATTTGAGTCTTGCTGGGAATTACAATTAGGGTACAGAGGCGGTGAAAATGAACGGTAAAGAAGGCCGCAACACGAAATCACCTTTAACTCAAGAAARGTGTTTTACAAAATATGGTCAGTGATTYATAAAATAAACATAAAAATAAAGGTGTTATTTGACAATGAAAGGTGTTTTTAGAGTTACAAATTAGTATCCAGAGGCGAGAAAAATGAGCATCCCAATTTTAGTCAGTACCACAAAACAACTTTTATAAAGTAGCCATTATGAAACTMTCTTTGTTCTGAACCGTTCTTTATCTCTGAGAAATTTAGCAGAATAAAACTGGTGAACAAGCAATGTGGATGTAGCGTCAAGCACTACATTTTCCCTTTTATCTAAGCGAGGTTTCACACCTGAACATTTGCTCGTTAAGAACTCATTTGAGAAGAAAACAAGTTAGTAGGCATTGGAAGATTTTCTATTAACTTGATTTTTTTGTATACGATTGTTATATATTCCAGCTGAAGACAAACTTTTACAATCAAACGAGACGAAAATAGGTCTTTCTGTTTCGRTTTCTTTTCAAACTTTGATTTTGGCCGCAGGACTGAATTTTAACAGATTTTGGACCTTATTGTTATTTTTTTAATTAAATAATTTTATTGCAAAATAACAGGTAATGAGCAAATTGCATTATAACAACGTTAAAATCTTTTGTTCTTTTCACACTTTTGATCTGGAAAAGCCACTAAAGAAGAAAGTCAAACGCAAACAATTCAAAAAGCATTGAAATAAAAATAAACATTTTTTCAGAGAAAATGGAACAGTTATAACTTTAATTTTGAAAAATTCTATCTTTCCTTCAGAGTGCGCAAATACTCAAGATTAGACACTTTGATAAATCATCAAAATTTCAGTTCTTTTTTAATAAAGTTTTGCCACGTGCCCTCTACACGGTAGCTAAATATTGTGCCTTATTTGAGGTAGGATTTGTATTATTTCGCCCTAATCTTTTGATCGCTAACTGTTCTCTCAAAGTTCCGCTCTTTTTTTGTTCCAAAAAGTCATTATTTTCGGTCGGACTTCTTATCTTAACGACAATTAGCAATGCGCGCAACAAATAAGATAAAAAACATTGGCTTTGCGTGAAACTATAAACAAGCTCATATCCCTGTATTAAAGGCTACGAGTTTTAGTGAGAATTTAATATATGGAAAGGGATTTAAGACGGGGCTTCAAGTTATAAAGGAAAAAAGATTAKAATTCATTCTTTTGTTATATTAAAACTCAAAAAGAGCACGGGAGCAATGCGCACGAATTTCTTCAAAACTAAAACTCGTCTTCTTGYATTTTTGTATACTGAATACTATTAATGTATCTTGGAGATTCTTTATTGGAAAATTGGATTAGTAAGATAGGGGTCCTTTCAAATGCTCACACCAATTTGTTTTGGAAACAGAGAACAAAGAGTAGGGTACCAGTATCAGTTGACACACAAGTAAAAGATCTTTATTAGAAAAACTGGATTATATTAGTAACCCTTGTAGAAATGTTCAACATTGAAATTTCACTAAGGATTGTCAGTATAATTACTCAAAAAGATTATGGTTCTATTGGTGTTGTATTTTCAAATCAAAATGACACGACGAAAATGAAATGGAAAATACTTTGATTATTCAGCAGAAAACAGCCATCTTGTTCATATCTAGGCAGCTATGTCGTTGAGAGGCAAGGTGGTGTTATTAAAGTTTACTTTKACTGTTAGATCAAGGGTTGTGGAACCATTACAGTAAATTGAATAGCAAGGACCAATGAAATCAAACTAAGATATTAAAAAAAGAACTTTATCGAACAGTCTTTTGAGAATGTATTTTCTTAAAAGGAAAATAATGGATTGCTTGGGCTATTAAAATAACCCTTTAGGCTTTTTTATGGATTTAAGGATGCGAAAAATAAATATAGCAATGAGATGATTTAGCTCAGTTTTCRGCGAAAAGTTAGCTTGAAATCTACAAGCAAAACGGGAGTTCTATTGATCAAGTGTTCTAAAATGTTACAAACAAATGAACACTTTGTGTCAAAGTACCGTGAGCGAAGCGCAGTGTCTAATGCCCTAAGGCGAGCTATGTTGTACCTGCTGTACACACAATAACCTAATACTATGAAAAGACTAAGGTGTACCATTGCCTAAGCGATTACTACAAGTGYATTCGTTTCCCACAGGCTTCGCAGGTTACTATTGATTCATAGCGCAAAGCTCGCCCGCACAGAGGATAGCAACATAGAACAGGTCCCACATTCAATATAGTTTATTTTGATTTTAGTTCTAGAAATGATTCTCYAGAAACGGATATCTGTAGTTATCAATTTCCATGGCAGAATGGAATCTTTGATCGATGATTCTTTTGAAGTGCGATACCGATTTCCGCGCCACTGTCTCTTGTAGTTGAAGTGGCCGATGATTACCCAATCTTATATGCGCTATATAAATTGCAAAATTACATCAATGTTTACATTAATGAAGTGGTTTGGGCAAGGGGCTCGTRTATTTTTGTCATCTTTTATCTTATCTGGTAAACGTAGTTTTCCGCATACTGTACAACAAATTATATATTTTTTTGATATTATTTTCTTATCTTTTTATTGGCGTAAAAACATTAAAATCTAAAATTGAAATGTAATTACCAATCAGACGGTAAAAAATAATAAATTTAGCTATTTGAGACACATATGAGAKTCTAATCTAGGCCTATATCAAAGGAAATCTTTCACACTCTCCGTCTTTCTTATTTCTAATATATGTAGGTTGGTGTTCAGACATAATAACCCAAGATTAAATGAAGTCATATAATTATAAGAATCTGCCCCCATATACTTTGGCTCCTTTGTTATTTTTTTCTAAAAGTYCTTTTTCGAAGCTTAATTTTGCTAAAACACAGAATCCAACAGTATTGTGTGGGACAGCCTTACGTATATTAAAMTTTTCGCGACATAAATCTCTAAAATGCAAATAAAAACAAATATTGAAATAACTTTATTGACAAAATCTCAAAAATATATAATAGATACACAATAATAATRATAAAAATGTTGAAATCATTGCAAGCAATGAGATTCAGTGGAATATTGTTATTACCTAGGAATGTTATAACAATTTTATTTGTAAAATATGTAACATTTTGAATTTTTTTTAAGTATTTCAAACATTAGACTGGTTTAAACTATATTCTCAGGGAAAAGCATTCTCACATTCATCGGTTGACTGGAAAAGAAAAGAATGGAGGTATTTAACATTAATACTCCACCTTTGTCTTATTACCACCTCCCATGAAGCTACGTCAATAACATCGCGGGAGAAGATTGTCCGCTTCGGTTAAAACACACGTAAGGCATCCATCATTAGGTTTCCCAAGCAATTTATATTGCTCTAGTGGTTTTCTAAATATATCATCATACAGAATCAAATAGAGCGACTATGCGATAAGTCAACTTCCTCCTCGGTCCAACGCTGGGCCCTGCACGAGCGCAAGGGGTGTCGACAAATATCATTTTAAGACAAATATTTCTCTTCTTGCACGAATTCTATGTTGGATTCGTTAATAAAGCTAAGTACAGTAATCTTTTGGTGCATGATTGTTATTTTCCTATTCAGAAAACCATTGGCTTTCTACACCAAACTAAGAGTTACAAATATCGTGGCTATTGTACGGATGTATATGTGTAATCAAAACGGAGCCAGAATGAATCATATTATAATGGTTAGTATACTATCCACAATGTCCGTGCAGTAGGAACGTTAACACTCAGCCATTCATTAATGCGATGAAAATCCGCGTTTTGACACCATAACAGTGCCTATCACGCAATCCACTTTCGGGTTCAAAAATCCAGCATAGTCTACAAGAAATACGTTGAGTGTTCAAGCAAAAAGCGATCGCGACTTTTATAGTCATGGGTTTTTTTCAAGAGGGTAATAGACAGAACGTGATTGATGTCGTTTGACTTAGAATTCACAACGCTTCGGTCAATATCGTCCAGAGAAAGCAATATCTATATTTTGTTCTTGTATAGAGATACTAAGACTGACGGTGGTTAGAAATGGGTCGTAGAATAACATATTTGCGTTCGGGAACGCCTCTTTTAATACTCTTTCAAATCAAGTAAATAATGTTAGTATTATGCGAGGGTGAGTTTTGAGTGTAAAAGGTAACGGCTTGTTGCGTAGACAGTAGAGGGGGTCGCGAACACGCAAGCAATATAAATGTCCATTAGCACTATCATATATTTCAGTTAAATATTCGTATTTTTCCATCAATGAACGTACGTCTTCTTGCTGCGAATGATAATGGGTTCGATGCCTAATTGAAGGTACTCCACAGCCAGGACACTGGGCATTTTAAGCTGACATCTTTTGTGATTAACAGCACTTCAAGACGCATTCACACAATTATAAATGCAAAAGACGGTAAAACAAAATCGCTGATCCATGTGATCTCGATGAAAGGGTTTTCAAAAGATAACAAAGGGGAGGGACAAACTCTTGTTCGTCATTCAACGATGAACAAAAGAATATGGTAGTCCGTCCATTAGACGACAAAAGCCACTGATGCTACGAGGAATAAACATGGTTTCTAACCCTGAGTACCCCAGGCTACCTATACATGTATGCTATTTCCAGAATCACCCAACCTGTAGGGGTATATCGAGAGCCAAATATCATCAAGTCACTGTAGAGCCAAGTGTAATCCCTCTTGTCCTAGTCAATTACCTTGTAACCCGCAAAAAAGAGAAGACATTTTATTCGAGTAGTGAGTAAACTCGTGCAAGGCACTCATTGTAACGTAGCTAACGTTAGAGTACTTTAAGACCATTGTTAGTTGATGACAAACGAGCTGAGAGGCTTAATAACAGGTCTTTGAAGCACGAAATCGTGGCTTCAAGAGGGTCAGAAGCTTAAGTACCTCCTAGGGTCTCATCCCCCCTGCAGTTCTACCATCCCCGACAGGACTACGATCTCCAGGGGTTACTAAGGCCTTCGAGATTCGAACAAACCTGCTACGTTACCAATCCTTCATTATGACATTACATCAATGATTGATGAAAGTCTCGAGGGCAGGAATTTCCTATTTCATCGGTGTATTTAATAAGAAAATATCGGTCTCTGTCCATAGTACTTCTGGTAGCCTCAGGGTATTATCTCTGAACGAGCACACGACTATCAAATGTTATACTGATATTATGCGTGAATAAGACCCATTATTTGGTTGTCGTTTTGGTGTATAAAGATACTTAAGTGAAGACGCTAGTTTGACAGGCTGCTTGGTGTTTTGTATACTCCATCGAGCCCCATTCGCTATTTCTGCTCACTTTATGTCAACCAAGTTTGAAGTGTCGATCTTGTTTTTATTCAATAATGCAAGAGTTTTAAAGAAGTAAAGCTGTCAGAAATAACTCTCGCAAAATAGACAAAAACAATGTATTTCTCAAGTTAAGTAAATAATTAATCCTAACATGAAGAAAAAAAAACGTTGACCATTTTCAGTGTAAAAAGTCAACGATTGTTCCCAGTTGGTTACCCTAAACATCGTACATTGATGACTCAAATCTGTTCAAATGAATTATCTCATAATTACGTTAATAGTACATTGATAACTACGTTAAACTCTCTACCGCCAACACTACTAGTTTAGTATAATCAAATCAGGAAGGAAGTAAGTCTTGTATTCGAGATTTCGTAGTAAAAACCGACTCTAATAGGATTCAAAGTAGAAATTAGATTATTTTAGTAAATAGTGGGATTTGCGAGTGGAATTCTTTGTTGTATGTAGTTAAGTTCAATTATTCTATTAGTATGAACACAGCATGACGCGAGCTTGAACTAGTGCTGGTGAAAATTGGGATTCTTTAATGAGCTCTAGGCGTCAATCTTTCACAGGTGACGCGATTCAAGGACGGAAACCTTTCACATATTAGCTTTCCAATGATTCAATTCTCCAAGTATTTGTTTTTAATACATAAATGACTGTCTTGTTGAGGCCTATCGAGTGAAGCAAACATGAGTTTCCACAAAGGACTTATGTATTAGTTTTTCACATATCGCTCAGGGCTAGCGAAGTGTATATAATGAACCAAAACAGAAATATAACCAAAAGAAATAAAAACAATCTATTGTGACATTCTATATTGTGACGCGTTCAAACTTATTTCAAATAAAAATAAAGGAAAGACAATTTCCTTCRGTGATCTTGCAAGCAGGGTTGTTTAAACGCCGTGAGGTCGAAAAAATCTCAACCGGAATCAGGCAGCTGAACTATTCTCTGAGGTACATGTGTACGTCAAGGAACATTTCCCAAAAGTTATATATAATCTTTACATAAAATGATTGATTGCAAATCATTAAATAGCAGAAAATGATTGCACACTTTAAACGGATTCTTCTCGTATTTTACCGCCAAAAGCCATCATATTGCGGTGGAATGAACAGTTTCAACGAACCATGTTAGAACTACATCTTGAAACTACTATGTGAAAAGTATTATGATAAAGTATCCCCTGGTTTGTGATGTAGTTTCACAGTGAATAACCTTCATTGTGCTCCTATTGATCATTCATCTTTATATTGTATTAAGATTTCGCGTTTGCACTGTTTTAACACCTTAGTTTCACACTTGTTCAAACGCAAATCTAAGTACATCAAATTTACACCTTGTATATGCCACCAAATGTTGTTATCTTGTTGGCCTTTCACTAAGACCTGYTCAGCTATTCAAATGTGGAGCTATCTCAGGGCAGCAAAATGGTGAGGAAACAAAAGAACAAGCCTTTGTTCAGTGTTTTTCTTACACGAAGATGGATTAGAAAAGTATGTTTTACAGCGATGTTCGAGGTTAGATCAGTATCACATGTTCGGTAAAAATAGGAGGAGTGTTGATAAAGAACAAACTCATGTCATCGATTACCCACCATGCGTACATGATAACTCAAAATATGATAACAATTTTACAGCTATAAAACCTAAAGGATGTAAATATGATATGAAATAAATCGACTAAAAAACACCAGGCTGGTTTCAAATGATATTCAGATGCCTGCTTGAACAACTGAGTAATTTGATAAGAAAAGGGGACATTTCTTTAGTGAGATTAAAGCTTCTCTAGCYGAACAATAGTTTAAATATCAGTGGTATCAGCCAGCGTTGACTTTAGACTGAAAACTACACATCGAAATCAGAGATGGAACACTTGATCAAAAAGAACAAAAAGTTACCATTCTTGGGTCACAGAATAAAAAAGAAATCAAGTGCCACTGGTAAAGTTTTCCGGTGGTACTTCTATGAGCCCCATTGTCTTTACAGTTTGTGAACACTGTTCAAAGCACAGAAAACCTGATTATTAGATTAAGACTTCTACAAATCATCAAACTTATTTGTACCGTTAAGATTTTTTTTTTGGAATCTTATTCACATGTATTTACAGTTTCTGGCGTTTCACTGTCAGATTCGCTCTTCAATGGCGGTCTAAGTTTCTACAGTGTCATGGAAAAGTTTCTGAAAAATACAGATTGTGTTCTGACGAAGCTCTGAAGCCCTAAACTAAATATTACAATAAACTATACATAAATTGAAATCAGAAACCTTATAACTGTAGCTTTTTCTGATAATAAAACTCAATTTTCGCTGCAGTTTGTATTATTTTTTCGTTTCAGTTCAGATATACTCTATTTCGTTATAAGCTATATCACAAGTCTTTTCATCCTTCAAATACAAATTATTGTATTGCGATTTGTTCAATTCTACGGCTGTTTATGTACCTCTAAAACCCATACAGTTCAACTGTGAATTGGTGCCTGTGCCAAGTGAATCTGCATTTAGTTGTTGTGCTGAAGTGGTGTTGATGTGTTGATGGGTCGAAGAGGGCAGTCCACTCGAAGGAGCGTTTGATGGTGACTTGGTTTTAGTGAGCGCTTGGGCATTACACTTTTTCCACTTCATTCTTCTATTCTGAAACCAAATCTTTACTTGTCGTTCCGTCAGGTTTAACTGTGTTGCCATCTCTGATCGCCTCTCTTTAGTCAAGAAATGGTTAAAATGGAATTCCTTCTCAAGTTCTAAGAGTTGCTTTCTTGTATACGCTGTTCTCTTGCGTTTTCCTTCGGTTCGACTACTCCACGCGTTGTCTAAAAGAAACAGCAAAAAGAGCATGAAGATACAAACACCGGCGATAAGAACACATGATCAACTGCGCGTAAAGTGAAATTGGCAAATTAGTCTCTATGTCCATTGCAAATCGATCGACAGTAATTTTCTTATGCGAATTTGAAAGTAAAATAAGCTAATGCTAAAATTATCTACAAACAAATGTTAATAGCGAGTAGAAATTCGTGCTTGTAATAAGTTATCAAGAGTTGCGCATCGAGCACAGAAACAAAAGAACGTTCTTACTTGACGATGTGTTGTGCCACCAGTTCTCCGGCGCTGTACTTTTAAGCCAGGCGTATTGATGGAAAGAACAGTTTTGACTGGGTTCTTGACTAGGGAAGTAGGGTTGATGGTGGTCTACTGGGCTTGCYGCAGTATTTTGGTTCGTACCAATTTGGCTATGCTGAAATGGAGGCACAGGATCGGCATTGTATCCGTTCACTTGGCTTGTTTGTGACATTGACATAAAATTCGGCATGGCATTTTGGCCGTAGTAATTGGGTGATTGCATACGACATTGCGAATATGAAAAATCCAACTGATTTGTATGATTCTGCGGTGGTTCTTTAGTTTGAAGCCCTGTGCCGTAGTAAGCCGGGAATTGTGGTGACTGCATTGCTAGCGTACTCATCACTAGTGGTGCAGAGCCTTTGAATTAAGGGTATTTATAAATGTCTCTGTCAATATATATAAATAATGTAAAACGCCAGACAAGCGTGACGTAGGTCACCTGGCCTCTGAAATGCCTGGTGTAGAGGCATTATTAGTTACTGAAAGGGTCTCAATTAACCTAAAAGCTCCAATTCGACCACACATAAAAATTAACGTTTTATGCCCAAAAATTACTTTAAAGCCGACTACAGGAAAAAAATATCATAAAAAAATCTGAATACCGTACAAATCGAACAGTGTATCAATTACGAAGCTTTTTGGAATGCTCTAGAATATCCTTTTGTTGAAATAAAATGGACTACATAGAGTGTTCACTATAAAATTTAAAGTCAAATAAGAGTAGTAATTTTTTTAAAGAAAACAATAAACAAGATGCAATTTTACTAAAGTAAAAAACCTGCAAGGAGAATTTAAAGGAAACAAAAAACGCTGAAATTAATGAGAGCGCGCGGCCGCAGTCATGTTGCATGCAAAGACTCTCTTAAGAAATGCCGTCATTTGTCAATATTCAAGGGTCTAGCTACTTGGTGCAACCGAATCATGACACACGAGTCGAAATAAAACGCGAAAAACTAAAGCACACGATTGTTAGCCTTTTGCTCATTTTGTATTTTTTTTTTACTGTTGTTTGTTTAGACTGAAAAGACATCTGTTACTCAATGCTACGCGATGTCATTCTTCTCCAAGCTGGTTCACGGATCAAACTGTTTACTCTCAATTATAATCATATAATGTATTGTATTTAAACCACTATAAAAGTCAAGACTGTTAGGTTTCTTTAACTGTATGAGTGGTAAAACAAGATTTAAGACTTTGAAGAGTTTCCGTAAGCTGGAGTTAGTTTATTGTCGCAGGTGATTTTATCTAAGTTCAAATCAAATTCGTGCAATGGGTTTGAATAAAACGGATGTAAGAGAAAGAAAGATATCATTTAGCACCGTAACTCCTAGCTCACAACTACCAGTCCCGCCTTCGATTTGGTAAGAGACTCCCAAGAGACTTCAAATAACTAAAACAGCCCTTTTAATCCAAGCCTAAGACACATTGGATTGTTTGTAGGTGTTAATAAAGCCTCCCATCCCAAAGCTATATGACAATGAGAGGTATATAGCTCTAATGAATAGCACATTGTTTCAAGAAAGAAGTAAACATCTTCAAGTTGTAGACTTTTGCGTTTATTCTAGTAAAATTGACCTTGTTTTTAGCTCTAAAAACGCTGTTTCAAACTTAACCTTATTTAGTAAAGCGAAGAAATAACAAGGTTGAAGTATTCCAATTCTCTGACGTCGGCCGTGCGTTCAATTACGACTGTCAAAAACAGTCTCCTTGGAGTTTAGCAGTCTTTTCAGTTTCATGGCAACAGAATTTAACGTCCGTATTACGCAAACAACTTGTTTTCAAACGTATTATGAAGCGCGAATGGAAACATCAAAAGAGCACCAATAAAACATATAGTGCTACCTGTAATTCAGTGCAGAAGCCCCGGTATAACGCAGGTGGTTGAAGTTCTCATTAACTAAACGCCATTGACACCATAATAAAATTTCAAATTCAATAATATCGCAAATCAAAACCTCTTCGAGAAAAACTAATCAAACGCGTTCGAATTCAGATTTCTGATTCAAAACTAGGTGAATGTTATAATACTTAATTCTCTGTATATTTTCTACTATAACTAGTGCGAAAACTTATTTTCTTTTACAACTAAGAGTAAATGTTCTTATATAATATCACTGATAATTATTTTATTGAGTAAAACTTGATATGTAAAACAAAAAAATCACGTTTGCATATTTAGTGCATCGTCCTTGTGTATTTTATTTCTTTTTTTCAGCGAATAACATAAAAAAGTTGTTACTTCAATATGTTGAATACATAACCGTTACAACTTCACTATAAGCGTAGAAATCTGTCAAAAATACTAAGCGACTTTACCGCTCTACCGGAAGTTTATTCTGGTTAACAAGAACCGGAGTAAAAAGGTTTTCAAATCCAGCGAATTCCAATATTTGTCTTGACAAGCTTGATTGTTACTATATATGCGCGTTCACTTCCGTTGAGCTCTCAACAACTCCTCCCTCTAATTTACCGCAACAATAACAAGAACAAATATTTGCATATATATTAACGTATTAGCGAGGGATCGTGGCCGCTAATACACACTTTATAGGGTTACTTCGAATTAAAATCTAAGTCTTTATAAGAACTAGCACGGGAATCAATGTAAGCTGTTAGGGTTTTTTTGGTGTTTTTCTAGATTACAATCTATCGGTAGAGTGAGTTGGTCTTCCCTCGCGTTCACACACACACACAGACCTCTTATCAGTGCTTTTGTTATTCATATGCCGGACTATAATGAAATTAAGGCCTTTGTTCGAGCATATACTTTGATAAGACTTCAGTGTGCGCGTACTTTACGTAGGGACTTTGAAACGATATCAAGGCCCTTCAGAGAACAATAACGTGGTCGACCAAAGATCAGAAATTCGAGACTGTACAGGTTCTTAAATCCCTCTCATGCACTTGTTTGTCTAGTTTGGCTTTTAGAAAGTCAGATATTGGAATTAAGGATTATTGTTGGCCTGATATAAGAGCGATGCTATTAGAGAAGTACTATAGTACTTTTCTGCGGCATACCGCAAGGCTAGGGGGTGTTCAAATAGTCTCCGTTTTGTTACTACCATCTTATAATTACCCCAACAAATCCAATGATTTCGACTGAGTAAAAAGTGTGACGCAAATCGTCAGTAATAACATTGAGAAATTCAACATTTCGAAAAAGAAACATTTGTTAAAAGAAAAGTGGTTTTATTGGCTTGGTTTCTTTATTCATATAAATCGAATTCACAGTCAATACGAATCGTGATCTTCAAGCCATGGCTAAAACCTTTGAGTAGTAATCTTAATCTTATAAAATTTCCCTCACAATGTCAGTATCTCGTTCATGTGCAATGATGTTATCAGCGATAACCAAGTATAAGGTTTAAGTTCAAAAATCTACATAGTTCCCGCATCGTCATGTTAGTAAGTGTTGTATTTGAAAAGCCTCTCTACTCGTTACTGAAGCATACTTAAAGTACTACTTAGAGCAACGGTTGTCATTTTACAATGAACTTCTCATATAGTTAGCAGGTTTGAATAGTGATTTTCCTAGGAACGGGTTCATAGCGTGTGGTATCATTCACAAGGCAAATACACGAAAACAAAAACAGCTACATCGCGGATTATTTGTTATTAAGATTGGTTCAGTACTGTTATGGCTTTCAAAATAATACAAAAGGAAAAATGAAAGAGAAAGAGAAGTTCAAAAGGAGGAACCCTCATGTGTTTGCTATTGGGTAACTATTTTGGCTGATTTAGTCGGCTCTTTTCATGTGACGGTAGCCTCGTCGTCCTTTTGACGCCTTTTTCGTCTTGATCGCACTATCTGACGCGGACTAATAAATCAAATTGACTATAAAGAAAGTGAATCTCTTCGGTGCTTAGTGCTCATGTTTTCGCCAGATATCATCACAAGAGTTCTTAATAATTATGTATAAGGCATATTTTAAACAGCTTGTAAAAATTAATTCGAGTTTTTTATTCCATTGATTTGAAGGCAGTGGTTTGACTTTTGGAGAATGATATTATCAGCTTCCATAATATCAAAAGAAGGGCGGGCGTTTTGTATAGAAAAGAAACAGCTATTGAATTTGTACAAAAAGTACCCTGAAGGCGACACGTTCGGGTAGTATATGAACTAACTCGACAGCGAATATGAATAACACTTAACAACAGATTTTGTCGAAACCCTGACACAGCATTGTGTTAATAAATTGCAACGCGCTTCCATAAACAAAGAACATTTTATAGGTTCAAATGTATAGCACGGTTACATTAAGTTGGCATACAAAAGGTTTTCAAGTTGAATGGTCGGTCGTTCTCATGGTAACATTGAGTACAGTGTATAAAGTCTTCAGTGGGAGTGTGGCGGCTTTGTAAAACAAACGGCCTTGTCATGGTTGAAATTGCTACCTCTAGAAACATTGTAAGTGATATTCATTATCAAACAGACAGACAATATGGAGAGCTTTTATCCCTCGACAGAATAACGATTTGCATTTGTCAAAATGAAACCTTTTGAAATACTTTCAAAACAAAAATATACTGTTTTCTTTGGTCGTATCTTCATTAAAAATAGAAAAAGGACCAGCCCTTCAAATTAATCCAATATAAATTCACACTGCGATCCTTCTGGATTCCAAAAAATGCAATGATTCTAACATAGTTAGATTAAAATGATTTCCAAAAACATTAAAATGTTTTCGCAAAGCATTGTAATGGCTTTCACGTCAGAATGCTACATTGAAATAGTTTCCCAAAACATTCAAATGGTTTTACAAAAGATTACCATGGTTTTCACAACGTTATTGCAAAACATAGCAATGGCTTTCAAAAACAATTTCCATTTTTTTCCGCGTGTCCTAAAAACAACAACAAATAAATTGTTTAAGTGCATGGAAAACACTTTTTCTTGCAGTTGAAAGTTAGAGAAAGGGRAGTTGATGCGTTTTTCAGACATGTTAATTATGGCTGAAACGTTTTAAAACCTCTTTGTTGTTGCTTCATGCAGAGTTCATACAGTGACAATTTTAGCTGTTTTAATTGGAGATTTCTATGACGTCTTTGAAGCAGAGTTCTAATAATATGCCAGATTTTTTTGTGTTTGAAGGAAGAAGCGCAACATGGGTCAATCAAAACTTTTAGCCGGTGGCAAACTGTGGTTAAACCTGTTAGGGTTCTAGAAACGCTTTATCAATAAAGAACAAAACGGCCAAACGATCAATATTTATTACGGGGCGCGAATTGTCCGTTATCCTTATATTGATACAAATGTGCAAAGAGTAAAGTAAGTGTAAAATCATGGTTTAATTAGAACAAGTTTAAAAATCATTTTGATCAAGATAAAATTCAGTGTTGGAAGGTAATGGTTTGATGGCACTTTGTCGATACCCCGTACTAGATCACAGCGTCAGGTTGTTACTTTGAAAATTATTGTCCGATGTTTTGAAAAAGCCATGAATATTGGCATTGAATATGACATTTTAAAGAGACGATACATCCCATTTCGCAAAAAGTTAAATTCATCTATATTTCACCTTGATGGGTTACACTTTGTTAAGTTTATTGACCTGTACTTCAAGAAACTGTACAACACATAAAAATAAGCAATGAAACGTAAGAATTTTCCAAATGTTAAAAAATAACTTGAATTTAGTTTTCTTGGGGTACTCCAACTAAGGCGTAACCTTGTCCTTAATTGCTCTCAAACATGTATTAAGATAAGACAGCCCTTGGTTCCAATATTCTACGCTGATTGCTTTATAAGAATTAATAGCTGGTCAATACTTGTAATGCCTGGTAAAATATTAGAAATTTCGGTTTTTAGTGACAACTTTTGTTTTATATTTAGCGGGCAATATGGAGTAATGCTGGTGCAAAACGTTTGCGAAAAAAGAAAGGTGTCTATAAGCCAGACTTAGACGATGAAAAGCAGTGTACTTCTTATAGAGGGCTTTGAACGATTTCTATAAGGTCAATGAACTTTGTACAATTTKTACAACTTTTTGTCAAAAAATGTGACATTTATTTCGGTAGATGTCCTCAGTTTATTTTTATATAATCATTGTGATAAATAAAAGATCAATAGTTTTGGCATTGAAAAGATAAATTTAACACCATTTTGGCATTGAAAAGGCACGTTTTGTGCACAGTAAAGACATAAAGTATCGATAAAAGGGCAATACTGTTGCAATTGTAATTATACAATGATCTCAACATTTCGTATTCTGTTATATAGTAATAAGTATGGTCATATATCATTAATATTGAATAGAGCGTTTTGGGTCGATTATTACATCTGTAATACTCTCAGGCATGTATAGCAGAATACAGTACRTCAAGTTAGGGAACAAAGCCMGATCAAAATGAACATAGAAATCGCGTGCTGGCAGARAAATAAGATTTATAATAATAGGAGGCCTTACCACATACAGTTCGAGAAAATAACAAACTAAACAATGGTTTTCTAGTTTTATCTTAACACCGCGTCTAGTGGTTAGRGTAGTATTTCATTTATTGTCTTCAATCATCTAGACTCTAAGGCATTTCAGGGTCTAGTTTAACCTTCTAGTTCTGTAACACAGTGACTCCTAGCACGCCAGATGCATTCGAATCGTCTCGTTGATCAAAGATTCTTTTTTTGACATAGTCTCTAATGTATAAAAAAGATCAAAATTTCAAATCAGCAGAAATATTTCAATATAAATTCAAATTGTTATTTCTATTGGTAACAAGTTGAAACTATTTAAATGACAAAACTGTTGTTGTTAATTGTTCAGAACAATCTATTTAGATGTTTTCATATTGGTATATATAGGGATTGCGAGAGTTGTAAAGAACGACTGAGTCTAGTTTTTTACTTTYCGGTTTCTTTTCCCAATTTATTCAAACTTGAGCATTAACTCAATGTTAAAAAGGTGAAAAAGAGTAAGTAAAAATTAGTTTCTTATCTCTAAATTTTAGGAGCGGGTGTATTAGGGTCTTCCGGTTCCTGTCAGAGATTCCATATTCCATCTGCGTCGCATTCATCGCGTAAGCTTTGATTACTACTAGCACTTATTCTACTTAAAAAACAAATCTTAAAACATTTGAAAAACAGTTTTTTTTTCACTGGTTGGTAAACCATGGGGGCATTATCTAGCAATGGATCGCGTTCAGGATGTTTGTGTTAAAGAGTCGTTTTGGCGACAACGTAATTAAAATTGGCTCTTAATAGCTTTTTGCTGTGAGAGCCTATTTCGGCCTAGTATTAAACAAACGCCTATGATATTATATGATTTATAACAAACTATTTAAAGGCGCTTTAACTCGCAGTGTTTCCGCTTTGAAGCAATTTCGGAGACATTCGGATTGTTTTACGAGTCATTACCGGCGGTATGATCCCCCTCAGGGTGTATTTCATCATTTAGGCCAAGAGATCGTAGAAAACACATCAATCTAGTTTTGACGGACTGGTTCGGTTTTTGTTGATATATCAGTAGGGTGTTTAACTTCGATAACTTAGAACGTTCTATAAAGTGCTGTCATGCAAGGTTTTAAACAAGCTCGCAGTAGAGGCAGATGTTTTCACCGTAAATTACTAAAGTGTTTGATCTTATCTGGTGAGAATTAAATCATTTTCAAGTATTGAGAAAAAAGCGAATCAACAAGGGGAATATGGGATTAAAGTTCAACGAAACAAAGTTTTAGACGCGAGTAAAGTTTTAAGTGTTCCTTGCGGCCATTGGCGCACAGCTGTCCGACATGAAAAAAAACAACATGACAGCAAAATTGAATCCCTTACTGCGAGATAACAAAATATTATGAATTTTGATGACCATCCTGTTATAAACCATTGAATTTTAATGAAATATATAATAACAATGTCTTCGTTAATTTTCTTCCAATAAACTACTTGAAGTTTGACTTCTGCCACCCGATTTCTTTATTTTTTCTGTATTCGGTTATTTGATCTTGGTAAACAATTCGATCAGTTTTATGAGGAGGAAATTCAAGCTTCGTGCATGCTCTTTTAGAAGTGTATTATCTATTTTACAATCATTTAATCCCCTTCACTGTACAGCTACTTTTATCATTCTTATGCAAACGTCCGACCAAGCCAATTTTTTCCAATTAAAGATGCGGCGTCAATTGTCGAGATTTGTGAATCTCTAGAACAGATACTCGCGAAACTGTGGGCGAAAAGACAGGTTTTTAGTTTGGCTACCTCACCTAYAATCTAAGTTATAATCATATCACAAAAAGATAACATCTCAGGCGGGATTCACGAATTTTCACCGCTTAGATCTCATAGTTACRGAAAGTCACGTAAAACAAATTTTTCACCGAAAACGATTTGAAAAGCGCCAAAGAAATCGCGCCCTCTCTTCTTGCTTAATTGGATAAGCGTCGGGATTTTTAGCTTAATTGCGCTTATAGTTTCAGCTTAAGGCAAATTGTCATAGACTGGAGGAAGGATACGACTACACGCGTGTGCCAGAAGCATTTTTATYAAAGTGTGATTTAAAAGCCTGGAAATTAGGATAGTGAAATTGAGAAGGAAAATAGCTACTCAGTTGGTAATCAAATAAAAGCACTCAATTTCACAGGAAATCCCATGAGTGTTATTAAAACGTTTGAAAAAAGACTCAAGGATACGAGGCAGCTTTAGCGCATAAGTTCACATTCGGCTGTTATTCAAATAAAGACAGGTTTTTTGGTCTACAATTGTTTTCTTGCTGTCTTAATGCGATGTATATAGTAACATAGCATAGATCTAGTAATTCCCTCCTTTGTCTTATTGGCGACTCCTGTTATAATCTCTCTTTCGTTCGACTTCGGAAAAATGTATCTAGTTTTTTTGTTTTTTGTTTTTTCATTTTGAGTCTATGGCGTCTTCTTAGCTGTTCAACATCGAGTTTCCTTTATTTTAGTTTATATTTGCACTGATTTTCTGAGGGATTCGAACGCAAACTGTCGGAGGTATAAATCGGCTTCTTTTCAACTTCAAAGAAAATCAATAAGTGTGCCGAGTCCAGCAATATTCCTCCTTTCTAACGATTTCCGTCCGATCTTCAACTAGCAATGCAGTTATCCCTTGATTTTACCCCAAAATGAGCCACAGCCAAAACGCAACCGAGAAATTTATATTGTGCACCATTCACTGTTATCTCAAAAACGTTTTAAAAAMATAAAGTACCTGGTTCCATAAACTCTTAGCCGCCGAATGACCTCCCCTTGACTTGACGGATACACTCCCGTAAACCCCTTAGCCATATGCACACAACCCCGCTCGAACGTCTACTCGCCATGGACATCAAAAACCTTACATACAACTTTCGAAGCAACGAGTTTRTATGTGAAACATTAGCCGCCKTGGTCGTTATTTTTTCATGACTAATTTCTTTAGAAATAGCAGTTTTAAGAGAATTTAGTGCAATTACATCGTTATTACGGCTTGTTTTATGAAGCTATAAAACACCATATAGAGACAGGCGTTCACTGCCAACGACTTTGCCAATGTTCCGTGGGTTCAATTAGAGTCAACAGAATGGCATTTCTGAGATACATTTCAAGGCAATTTCTAGCATTAATAGGGCCTATATGATCACCTTTGACGACAAAAATAAATGTGTTTGTGCTAGGAAACATTAAAAGGCTGGACCATTTGTTTTCACCAATTATACATGTCAGACTGTTTGTTTGTATATTTCCCACCCAACTGAATGGAATAATCTTATATCAAACACCGACAGGATCAAATATYCCAGAACGTTTCATCATAGAGTACAATATCTTCTTATTCTTATTAAGGGTATTTGCTTTGCGAAACAGCAAATAACGAATTATTATCCGATAATAATATACATTAAAAGTTAAATATTGAAAGTTTTAATAGGAAAAATAGGAAGTTAATGTACAATAAGCAGAGTGTTGCACAATAAGCTTTGCTACGTGGGTCAAATAAATGACTTTTTTTCTATAAAGCGGTTTACCTTGATTCTCACTGTTCTATCCCAGTGGGGATTAATAACTGTAAAGGAAATAATTCCATTATGCAGCTAATCTAGTAATCTTAAAACCTGATCAATTCTTCACGACAAGACAGGGTGGATAACTGGTGCGCACAAGTAAACAGTGCGAGAATTGTAAATGGGTGACCTCGTAAGGGCCTATAAATAATTCATTAAGACATCACCATCATCATCATCAACAACAACAACAACAACAACAACAACTACAACATCAACAACAACAACAACAACTACTACTACTACTACAACATCATCAACATCATCAACAACAACAACAACTACAACACCATCAACATCATCAACAAAAACAACAAAAACAACAACAACATCATCGACAACAACAACAACTACTACTACTACAACATCAACAACTACAATATCATCAACATCATCAACAACTACTTCAACAACTACAACAACAACAACATAATTGCAACCAGGACAACTTTAGCGACGCTATATTAGTTACAGGTGGACCCCCAATTTCAGGGAGGGGGTGCTCGACATGTACAACTCATGCACAACATGCACAACATGCACAACTCAAAAACGGTGTTACAAAGAAGACAATGAGTGGACTAAGGTATCAAAAGTTACAAGACATCAGGGGGGTGCACATATGCAAAAAAAAGAATGATACGATGTGATGAGGAGAATGGGATCAGCTCAGCTCACATTATCAGTGTTATTAAGGTCACYGTATCTGTAAAAGACTTTAAACATGAAAATAAACCAGTCTGCTCTCTCTTGCAAGAATTTCTGMTTTTTTATGCATATTTTGGAGGTTTGTCTCCCTCCCCTCTCTTTCCATTCCTCCCTGATAGAATCAGCCAAGCCAGTCCATAAAATGACAGCAGATAACAGAATACATTCAATTGGATCGTTGCCTAGTTCAAAACCCAGTGAACACAGAAGTGGAGATCGAAAGACAACATGGTGATTATGTTATAAACATAGACGTGTCGCTTTTTTTAAAACTGAGTTACATATAAACAAATATTAGCCAAAGTTCGTATCGTTACCTAGTATTTCCACTGCTATCCGTTTCTATTTCAATATTTAAGAAATTTTAATGAAAAATTAAGGGGATAAAATTGAGGTACCCTGATCCCCTCTATGCGCAAATTTGTTGATTAGATRGGCGGATCCAGGGATGTGCAAAAGAGTGCTGTAGTACCCCCTCTGGCCAGAAAAAGTTTTTAAGAACTGCTTTTTTAATCATTTTCAGTGTTGTTCAGAATATGTAAAGCCCATTTACCCCCTCCCTCCTAAAACCATTTAGCCACCCCATAATATTTCAGCTGGTTCCGCCCTTGACATTATCATATCAGATCCAAGTTATCGGACCGTTTCAGTCCTTCCAAGAAAGAGAACACATCATCACAAAACATGCATGAAAAATGTACGAAAGATCGGTTTACGATTATCAAACGTTGTTATGAAGAGAGCAAAATCAGGAGATGCCRCGATGGTATAAATTAGGGGATTTATAAAAAACGTTTCATTCCTCTTCTGAAAATAAACAACAACACCGATATTTATCACCATCTGTGTGTTATCGAATGTTATACTAAAACCAAATATATATATTGGTATATTGGAAGGGTCTCATTTAGATAACCATCCATTCTGCATCTAGCAACTTCAAATCTTAAATTCCCAGGCGACTAGAAGAAAAAGCCGGTACTCAAGGTCAAAGTTGCCGCATAAGGGCCGCTGCATTGAGGATAAGATCTCGTGTAATTACATACATTATATATACGGCAATATAAACGATCAAACACGTAAGTTGTCCAGGAATAGCATTAGATAAAACCGACTGGAAATAGAGATTATCTTCTGAAATTCGATAYATAGAGGATATTACATGGACGCGCGGAGATACGGATTTTATCTTCGAGTTTTGAAGATCTCTCACGAGTGAGCGTAGAGAAACYTTGAATAKTTTCACTAGTGAAAATARCAAYTTTATGAAATGGAGAAATACAGGTATTTCATAKATAATTACATGATAAATAGTTAAATTGAAGCAAAAACAGAGTCGTGCGTACACTAAAATACAATCTTATGAGCCTGCAATAACCTCGTCTGCGTGCACACCGTTCGATCCCTATAACCTTTAAGTCGCAATAGAAAATACCAAATAAGGCAAAGAGCTGAATAATGGAGAACTCAATATAATATCATGTAATATAGGTGCAATAAACTCAGTCAAAATTAGTGTCTGAAAGTGTGGTAATTTGTAGAGGTACACGTTCTTAAGAGACTATATTTGGTGATGATGACTTTATTAGGAGTCGAGTTACGAGTTGTACATACGAATTACTCTAACACCTTTTTGGGTTAGCAAAATAGATGATTAAGCTGCGCAATTGGATAAGAAAGTCACGGAGATGTGAGTCGGGCATTTTTGTAACTGAATGTTCTAGGAGATGTAAAGTGGGGAGRCGTTTCGGCTCAGCGAGCTTCAATCAAAGGCGCTGGAACGTCACGAAAGGGTACAAAATCGGTTAAAAAAATATTATAGCTTGCCRTTTTTGCTTGTGATTGAGGTTACGCAGTAAGTGAACCATGTGAAAAAGTGTTTCCCTAATATCATAGCAAAGTTCTTTCTGAATTTCRGGTCAATGAGAGCGGAAATAATGTGAAATGAATGAGAAACTGAATAAAACGTGCAGAAACGAAATGAAAAAAGAAAAGAAAATATAAAGAGGACAAAATTGTAATCTTAACAGTAAAATGACATTTTGTGATTAAATGAAAAATAAGAATAAACAGCCACTGCAAACGCAACAATAGTTCAAAAGAGTATCACGTTTCATCATGTCACAAAACGTAAATGGAGTGATGAGATAGCTGTCACCAAAATGAACGCTTCGTAAGGTTTTGTATGGTATGTCACCACAACAGACAGCCTAATTAYTAGTTAAGTCAATCAAACTACTGACAATCAAGAAAGGCTATGACCTTAAATAGATAGTGATAATACACAAGTTCAAGTGGGTGCTCCAAGAGTCACTCAAGAAACTCTTATTATTTGTATATAATACATCCTTAAACACACMAAACGCTYCACTGTCTTTTGGAAAGAATGATTGATCACGGACACGTACAAGGTGCATTTCAATTGYTCACTTGCATCAAGTAAATGTGTTGAGTGCTTTATAAGATACTAGCGAAAATTGATTAGCAGGAAGGGGTTCTAGAACAACTCATCAACACGTGATACTTTCCTGGTCGAACGAACATGCTAATCAGTTGAGTTACTCCCATGTATTTTGCATTTAAAATATAAGTTCATTTGCTCCGTCAGGTATTATGAAATGTTTTGTTTTTATTTAGTTATCTTGGTGCTAATTTTAATCAGTAAACTAAGAGAAAAAAGGTGATAAAGATAGGAAAAAAGATCCACAAAAATTMAAAGATGTTCTCAAAAATATAGCAAAAATTGAGCAAGTTTACCTGGTTTGCCAATAAGGAGAGAGCTCTGCATGCATAGTACTAGAACGAAACGAAACGAAAAAAACAAAAACAAAAACAAAACAGACAAAAAGAAAAACAAAACTAAACAAATAAGTAAATACAGCCACAAAGAAACAAAATACTAGCCACCGCATAAAAAAAAGTCAAGAGACGTAGCTCAGATTTTAGCTTTATTTTCATTTTAAAGCACGTAAAAAATTGTACTTTTGAATCTTAATAATCGTGTACAGAGTACACCAGACAAGCTAGCAGATCAATTGTCGTGACTGCGTTCACGTTTTGATATCTTCGTGGTGTAGGAAGGAGTTCATGATATAGGCCTTTAGTCTCTGCCGTTCTAAGTATTGTCTTGAATTGTACTTGAAAGATCTTGGAAGTCGGAAGTTTTTGATACTCTTGTTCGTCTATCTTTGAGATAAGATTCTTCCGTGCACTTCAGTATTCTCAAAACGCCGATATATTGGAAGGGATGCTATTCCTTTGTGTGCATAGCGTTTGYTTGTCTTGATGGGTTCCCTGTTGTAATGTACCAAATTCGCCGCCCCTAAAACCGCAGACCGACGCCAACGCAGGCTACAGCGATTCTGTTACACTGGTTGGCATGAGGGTCCCCTGTGTACAGCTCGATTAGTTCTGGTTGGTCGACGGGTTCCCTGAGTGTAGTGGGCGGGGTTTTTTTGGTCAGTATACTTCAAATACACGACAGTAAATAGCCAAAGTATCTAATATATRCATTATGACGAGGTTACTGAATAAAAAAATATGTTACATGGTTTTGAGGCTAACAAAGTATAAAAGATCGCTAAAAGTGTTGATTGCTTATAGATCTACCATTCCTATGTGCATAATACATCATGACRCAGCTGTAAGCCCCAACTGAAGCCAAACCACTGCAGGTTACGGAACACCAATCGGCAACATTTTTGGTCAACCAATATTGACCAAATCATGAATTTTCATTGAAATAGTTCATTTATTATTTCTAGTTTACGGTTTAACAATAATTCTACAAAATCATAAGGTACGATCTGAATGATGGGACATCTCGCAGTATATTCTCGTCCCCAGGCTACTCTCTGTCAGATAAAYGGAGGCCTGTCCTAAGTAAGTGACGTCAAGTTGATCAGGAAAGAGACAGCAGCCTGGGAACGAAGCTAATCAWCCGTAAATCCAGGCTGCGCAACCGAATAAAAAACCGGAAGTGACGCAAAATAAGAATGACCGTACGTCAAATGACGTAGCCTCTGTTGAAGAATAAATATGAGTCTAAAYAGAAGGCTTCAACTGTAGGATAACACAACATGCTACAAACTTTTTGTGATAGATCACCATTAGACTTTTTGCATCACGTTGACGGCAAACCTGAAGATGTCATTTGACCGTGCTCYTGCCGTCGAGTTGCTCTTCGCGGTTGAAGGTTTTAATGGCATGAGCACCATCTTGCAGTACCGTAATTCATTTACGGCAAAGTTTTGTATACCTTTGATGTCATGAACTGACGTTTCAAATGTTGATATACTATAGTGTTCTGTTCCTTGAATCTTGATGAAATAAAAAAATTAAACATTGACTAGTTCTAGAAAACAAACATGGAGGCTCGAAACGAGTGCACCTGACATTTACACAAGAACAATAATTTAGCTCAAACGTTTCGATTTTTGAAACATTTCTTTCAAGAAAAGGCCCTTTAGATAGCCCGTCACCTGGAACAATGTAAAGCTAGACAAAGAAGTGGCAGATAGAAGGACAAATGCAATGACGGCATGACTGAACCATTCCGAAAGGCAGTAGCAAACTCCAAACGGATAATCGCGGCTTGAAGTCTGCCSCCAACCAGTAGTACAATTTCCGTAAGTAATTGAGGTAGGCATTGTCAAATTCGCATATTAGATGTATGGAAGGTAATGCTCTTTGTCTGTCTGAGCACATTTTGTATCGTGTATCCAATTAGCAATGGCTGAGCTRTTACCTTCATCATCGCTGTCCAATTCTTGATCCAAAGATTTTAGTGCGCTTTCTGTGAGGGCAGCCGTCCTAGAACACCCATGATGATCGACCTTAAAATCGTTCACGTCAATCAAATTAGACTTATTTTCCGGTGTGTGTATATAGGGAAGACCTGGACCACTACTAACAGTGCGACGACATGGCGTCTTTTCTYTCGGTTTGTAAAAGCATGTAGCCGTTGTTAAGCTTTGAGAACGACCTCTAGAGCAGCATGCCTGCGTGTCACTGCCCTCGCTCCTCCTTGAATCTGATAGTGATAGYCTTCTATACCCTCTAGGTATAACCAGACGTGTGTCATTATCGGCGGTCCCAGAATGTCGTCGATTCAAAACGGGGACTTCATGGTCTTTCCAACAGGTGCTTCTTTCTGCACTGGTTGCAGAAAATCGACTGCTGCAGTCATAACTTGCTCTTAGTGAAAGAGCGGAAAGCGATCTTGATCGGTCCTGCGAATACATGGGCATACTAGAATTGTACAATGAATTCAGACTTTCCATATTTTCAATAGGTAAGCAGAGTGTACTGTCTTTCTTCTGCCGAGGAGAATTACAGTTGTCAGGACGATCAGGATTCATTGACGTTCTAATTGTATTGCAGCTACAGAAACTTTATGTGCTGGAATGGTATGTAATGAAACAAAACTGATCAAGTAMAATAGACTGTTGAATTGGATTTGCAAGGAGTACATATTGTATACACTTAAAAGCAATGGGATTATCTGTATATCCTAAAAGCCTAAAAAAATACACGTGATTATAGGCAAAATTTACCAGAAAACTTTAGTTTCTCGATAATTTAAACAAGATCGGTATTACCAAATGAGCGATTAGATAATAATCAAATAATCAATTAGAGTAGGTGTTAGAACTGTTTAATTTCTAAAAACTATGTACAAAAGACAATGCATACAAGATCAAACTTTAGATAACAAACAACAAAGAACTTCACGAGCTTCACATAACAAAGTAAACAAGCTCGCTATTTCTTTAGAAGTTCTGATTTCAACCTTTAAAGTACTAATGTACGACAGTTTTCATCATACGAGTATAAAAAGATGTACACTAATGGTGCAAATTGGTTTATTTGTCTATTTTTTTTACAGGATCACGTAAGTGGAACACGTGCTATTATTCCACTAAGTAAGTAGGGATAATAGTATAAGTCACTTACGATAAAAACAAAAGAGGACTTACTGCAAATAAAATGTACCGAAACATTTAAGTAATGTTGGAATCCCAGAAGATGTTAGTCGATATGTTATTCAGATTCCGATTGGGTTTAATATTAACCAAGGATTGTCATTTTTCAATAGACTATGCCTAATAGATGCACATTACGATATATTTATTGATATGCTTTTGAAATAAAGAGAAAAGTTGCTTTGTTTTTTAACTATGTGAACTCGCTCATTTTACATCAATAAAGGCGTACTATTGTATTCAATTGACAAGCAATCGATCTCAATCTCTTTGTTTACGTTGTTGTCAATATACGGTTGCGTTTATCTAGCAACTATGTACTGCGCACAACTAGACAGTTAATGTACTTGAATTCAAACACTGTTTGCAAAGCTTTTTATTCAACAGATAATTAGTGTTTAAACAACTCTTTTTATTGGTATATATTAGTAACAATATATATTCAATGTCAACATTAAATCAATGGAAAATCAATATGCAAGCATATATTCGTCTTGAGTAAAATATAATCTGACTTGTGATTGTAGCTTGCGATACGCAATGAAAGCCACAGATGAGTCAAAGAATGACGGACGTCAATCATACTTGATTTTCTTCTTACCATGGAAGTATGTCAAGTAAATCACATACAACATGGCTGAAAAGCCCATCGCGGTACAAGCCATCACAATATCCTTCACAGGGTAAGGCAAAGGTGTTTCTACAATAAACACTACAAACTCAGCGGTAAGTCCACAAAACGTGTAATTTTCTCGAACTGGGTGAGCCCTAAAATGGTATAGACCTGACCCCATGAATTCAATGGAGCTATTAATGCGTTCTTCCATGATAATAGCGGTGGTTTCCATCACGGTCTTGTTAGATGGATTTAGAATGACGTAATCAACGCGATGGTTAAGCTCCTCTAAATAAAACGGCGACTTAAGAGATTCAGTCCCGCGCCCTGTTCTTGATATAAGAAATTTAGGCCTTAGCATTTCCGAAAATGACAGCCTATAAGCAGCATCAATACAGTCGGAGTGTTCTATTAGGGTTGATCTTCGTAGAGCACGTGTACAGCCACACCCAGCTCTAGTACCCACATTTAAGCACTGCTTGTATCTAACAGTTTCTCTTGTAATTGCATAGGCACTTCTGTAATGCGGTTTCAGGGGGTCTACGTTGTAAATATGGCTCGTCATTGGTATTGCTTTACCTCGAACTGAAGGTGGTCTATAATTGTATGGTAGGTTATAACTATGCACTCGATCAGCGGATATCGATGGGTGAATGCATCGGAGTGTTTTAGACGGTGGACAACCACTGTGGATTGTAGCAGTTAGAGATGTACGACGGCAAAACAGCGAAGCGTTCTCAAGTACGACTGTGACAGGTGAAGTCCCTGAAGCTAAAGGTCTTTGTTTGATAGTAATCTTTAGCGTCGTATTCAAATGTGACATTTCATATACCGAGGTCGTGGTAAAGAGTCCAGGATGGCTTATCAAAACTCTTGGTATGGGTTTATGTACAGTTTTCTTGCTAACAACCGTTGCAGTTAATTCTAATGAATCTGTGGAGTCTAGATGATAGAACTGAGGTGTTGAATGCGTCGCTTCAATCAGGATACTTTTACAAGTGTCTTCTTTCAGCCACCATGCTTTCTCACTAGATATTGAATCACGAAAGTCATACAAGSTCCATCCTTCRTGARYACCATGGTAAGGATCATTGTATGTCCAAGGTAAAAACGACAAACAACTAGCCTTTGATGGACTGAGACGATGAACTAACAGAAAGCTTTGACCATTAGGAAGTACRACAGTTTGTCCGACATCGTCTTCTTCCCATACACCATTCAGTAATGTTAAAGATGCGTTCCACCCTGACCAATCGACTTYAATTTTAGCAAKTGAATTGCTTTYTACTTCGTTAAAAGGCTTTRAAACGTAGCCAAATACGTGTTGTTTAAATACACTGGAAATAAAGCTTGGGGCTTCTTGTATATGAGTTATGATAGCAAAACCACCGTACTTTGAATGAAGAATCTGACCGAYGTTTGACGTGGAAAAACACTCGCAATCTAACAAGAACTCGACTCTAGTTTCTGATTTGAAATTGACCAGCAAAGTCGACTGAATCTCTTCTTTAATATCGGAAGAAASTTYGAGGTTAAAGACRTCATGAYYGATGGACAGTGAAGAGCTGGAGTTCACCTTTAGCAATACAAGACTATCAGAATCAGTGACGACTTGCGAATTGACTACATGCGATAGCGTGACGTTAGTTTTGAGCACAGCTGTACGATGAATCCCTACTTTACCAACAAGAATTGTACCACTGTTGGTCACAACAGAAAAGACTTCGCCAAATAGATCGACTGCAAACGACCTGATTTGTTGGTTTTGAAAGGACGACACTCTATGAAAGGAGTTGCCTCCATCTAGTGACTGCCACACCTTAGATCAGYAAAAAATACTCGATAAGTTGACACGAAGTTCGGAAGCATTGCAAAATGGAAATTGATRCACAAGTCCACAATATCGTTTTAATAACACAGCAAAATGTAAGACAATTATTGTTATGCTGCAAAATTACCAAAATAACAGCTAAATCTTGAAAAGAAAAAGTGCTATGTTTAACATTAAGTTTGAAAAAAAGTTTTATAAACTTTTTAAAATGGGGAACTCATATCTCATTTTAAAAATTTTGTGACACCTTGCCCACTGCGCAGAGCTTTTAATACTTCACAGAATAAAGTATATGAGAATGGATATTATTTGTGRTTAATTCTCCCCCTGGAATATCCATTTTTTCCCTACTTGTCCTAGCAAAGGTTTTTGATATGCTATACTAATTTACCTTACTGTACTAAGTGTAAACTATCTGGAATTATCTGTAAGAATTCTGAATATAAGAAAGTAAATATACTTACCTGTGATCCATATGCAAAAATGGTACCAGTATGTAGATGATAATGCAAACTTTTGACAATATCAGGCTCTCCAAATCTAAACATTGGGAAGATTTTTGATGATCCTTTGTAAACTTGAATAAATGAGCTTCCCTAAAGAACAAGCATTAGTAAAAGTATGCAATATAAACTACAAAATTAGCATCTTAGTGTTTGTACTCTAATTTATTATCATAAGGTTCTATATAAAAATCTAGTATTACCTTTAAAGTGTCTWTTACCAATAAGACTTTTGTTTCTCTTTGTATGTCATGGACTAAATTATCGACCAACGAGCCACCAGAGAGGTTATTGAAATCTTGCTTCAACCATTCATTATAAGGTGGAACAGCACATAGAACAAGGATATCATTAGCAGTATTGTTATTATAGACAATGCATACTTCCTCTCTCCCATCCGACACAAAATCACTGTAGCAATATGAAGTATAGAACAGTTTGACATTGCTTCTWGTTAGGCTACTGGTTGTTACTGCCCTGTCAATAATCCGATGAGCTGATTGAACTTTTGTAAATGTTATCTGAAATCACAAAAAACAATTGATAAGAATAAAATCCACTAGATGTCTCCACTTCTCATAGGTCATGGGATATGAAAGAAATAGTGGGAATGAAAAAGAGCAATTAAAAATAGACTAAATGGAAAAACAAGCAACTCCTTCCCATTCAAAAATTAAAACAACAACAACAAAAGGCAACCATACATTCCCTTATATTTAAGAACCTGTACCATAGGAAATATCTAGTAAGATGGCGTTTGGATTTGCTTATTTTGATGTGCTGTGAATTAAAGATCTCTGAAGTTGGCTGCAAAGGTCAGAGCCCTAATAAAAAAAATATGAATTACAATATCTGTACCATTAGCACTATACGCATACCTTTGATCCAGATCCATTTTTTGAGGCTTCCTGGAAACTCTGCGACACGGCAATACCATGAGTTGTGACAAACACAAGATAGTCTCTCATAAGAGCAAAATCAAGGATTGATAGATCAGAGCAATCTGCGAATGATGATTGGTTGCAAAGAGAATGTTTATCTGGGGTCCCAGAAGAAGGATTTAGAAGATTGAACCACTTCATGGAAGAAGAGCTGAAATAATTGTAYGTGACTCCGAAGTAGTACCCTATTAAAGATAAATATTTGGATCCTGTTAGAAGATAAACACAAGGGCCGGCTAGCTCAAAGCCTGATTAGTGCGAATCAAGGGTTGAGTCATTGTTTTCTTTAATTCAGAGTCAAAGCAAACAGACTACCTGTGCAACAATTACTTACCAGAATTTTGGTTTTCGCTCGCATTGGATATGGGAACAAGACCAGCAACCACGGCCGAGCAAGGAGTGTTTCTAATTATCAACTCTTCTGCATTCACAGAAACCGAGTCGACCAAGTCTCCAAATTGCAAATCCAACAACGGTTCTGCTTCTTTGATAATCAAACTTCCACGATGTTCAAATAAGTTTAATCCCTTACCAAGCTCAGCAATGAAATCATATCTTCTCAATGAATACTTATTCTCTTGATARAAGAGGTTAGAAATTGTGATGTYGCGTCTCCAATACAAGSTGTCCTTAGTTTGGRCAASTTCGTCCAACTCCAGCGAAGCATTCCAACTTGCATTGAAAATCATCATTGTCGGATGAATCCCTTGAGAGGAATAATGATTAACCAAACCGTTTCTGTTGTATTTAGTGTCGTTGTCACGATATCTTAATTGAATATTAATTTCAGGAGATGGCCCTTGAAGATAGAGTTGTCCAAGCAAGCCGCTGCCATCATCTTCTGAAGTGAAAACTACAATTTCGACGTCTTCGTTGTTKTCGAAGTCGTARGGCAATAAAGACGAAAATACACTTTCAAAGACAGTTAAAACAACCAGCAGTCCGATAGATGAACACTTCAATGTCTTAGTAGGGTTTGAAAGCATTTTTTTCGCAAATAAAAAGCATAGATGAGATAAAACTACAGATAGAAATTCAGGGACACCTTTCTTGRATCTTTCCCCTTGCGAGCGACGCTTGAAAGGCTTTATGACGAAGACGCGCGCGCACGCGTCACATTTCCCGCCAAATATCACCACAGGAARCCCGCAAATCAAGACTCATTTGCAATCGGTAAACATTATTTTCATTATACTTTTTATATTGATATTTTTATATCCAAATTACAATTACACTCGGGCATTAGTATTTTTTGAAAATACTTTGAATCAATAATAAGTACGATAGAAAAATACTATATATTTACAAAATGTTCACAATATGAATGCCTGAAAAGATTTCCTTTTAAGTACAAATTGATAATTCAAAATTTATGTTWACAATGTCCAATTGTTAGATGTATCCATATGTCATGTAATCTTGTAATCTTGCTGCTATATCCATATCRAATGATGCTGCCTGAAAAAAATAAAAAATTCAAACACCATCAATCAACATTGCATAATTTATTGGAATTAATCCATCACTACCTATTTTCTCTTACCCTTTTATACCACTTTTCTGATCCTTTAACATCTTTATCCACTCCATAGCCATGGTGAAGGCAGCGCGCATAAACAAAGCAACCTAGTGCTATTCCTTTGGCAACATAATTTGGTAAACAGCCTGTTTCTTCTGCTATTGATTCAACATCTTCTAGTTCAGCGACACTGCAAGAATAATTTAGCATTAATTATAATAATCTTTTTTTTTTCAAATCAATGACAACAAAATCTCATATTTGCTAATATCCAAACTGAAATGTCAGATTTCCCATTGAAGATGGAGAACCAAGGATAGACTATTTAATCCCATCCCTAAGGTTGTAATGGAGTTAGCGATCCACTGGAAACCCTATGCTTTGGTCAAGGGGAATAAGAATAAATTTAATGGTATCATTAGTTTGCAGCCTTGATAAATTATTTTTTACTAACCTTTTAGCAACATCAGCTGCCTTGTTAAATAGTTTTCTTCTGTAGTAATGGACTGCAAGATTTCCCTGTGCRTACACATTCCCTCTAACAGCAGCACCYTTCAAACACTCAAATGCTGATTGAATATTTTGCTTAGGCCCAATACCATACTCAAACATGACACCCAATGCACCTTGAGACTCAACACTTCCATTACCAGTTGCCTCTTGGTGCCAGAAGTAAGCCTGGAAAACAGTGGAAGAAATATTGTATTGTAGAAGATCAAATGAGTAGTTTATAAAAATGCATCAAGACAAAAACAAAAAGAATAAAGCAAACATTTGACTGACACTAGAGTATTTATGACAGATTAATTTACTTTGTCTAAATCAAAGGARTCTTCTCCTGATCTTGAATAAAACAACCCTAAGACCATCTGTGCTTTGACACTTCCCTTGGRATCGCCATCATCTGCAGCTAACAAGAACCATCTTTCGGCCTCCTTGTCTGATTGTTTTACTCCAAACCCTTCAAAATATGCTCTTCCAAGGTTAAACTGTGCATGGTGTRTAAGRTGAGARGCGTCTGGGTTGTTAGATTCAGCAATTTCCCTCATATATTGGGCTCCTTTGACCTGACAATAGATAACATAAGATGTGTGATTATATTAAAAGTAGATGAGGTGATAATAAGGTGTTAAAGTTTAGATATTTTTATTTTGGTATCATTTTATATGAACAATTATTGAATATTTCAAAGCAGTCATTCAACGAGTAAACTTTGCATGCATACTAGYAAGACAGGGATCAGAATACATGTTTAATATTCTAACAATTTTGCACTTACAGGATCTGCTTTTGTCCCAAGACCATCATAATACATGACACCAAGTTGATATTTAGCTTGAAAGTCCGTATCTCTTATTCTTTCAAAACTAACAATAGCTTTATCATATATTTTTCTTTCAAAGTAGAACTGTCCTAGTTGAAACTTAGCAAGCATRTCGCCTTTKTGAATYCTTTCCAACAACATTTCTTCGAGYTCATTRTCGGACAAGTGGTCGTTWTCGTCTGAWAGAAACGATCCTTCRCGTGATTTAGGCAGGGGATCGCCACTWAGTTTTCTATCTAAGTGYACAGGMGCTGAAACYGGTCGCTCGATGTCAGACATGTTGGCTTCGAAAGAGCATTCGAACAAGTMGTCATAGAAACGTTTTGTTGAMSACAGGAAGCCCAACAGGAAAGTCCGCTGTMAAAATATCGCTGGCTCGTARAGTAAAATTCCAAAATCCAAAATGGCGGGAGGAGGGCTGCACAGTTCAGTGTTCCTTGTAATGGTTTCTGGGCAGATCGAGTCGGCACACGTAAGTAAATATTAATCAATATAACACTTTTTTAAATGTACTAATATTTATAGCAAGTGTAACTTCATAGTTCCCAGAATTCGACGACCTTTATTGCAAGATGGCGTTTTGTTATGGTCCCGATTGGGTTGTTACATCTGTAAGTTTGAGGATGAAATTCTTTATTTTTTCGTATCTTCGAATTGCTTCATCGAATTTCTTGATAGTTTAGTAATATCAAAACATATTCCACCTAGGGATGGGAGGAAGGCATATCACAAATCACCAAAAAGAGYATGGAYAGACGACAAGTTGTTGTGTGGAATTTCCCTCTTGATGTGACATTCAAAAGCACTAGTCCTTATGGCTGTAAGTTTATCATCATATTTCTCGTTAATGTACCACTCTCATCATGCTATGTTATTATTATTATTTATAAAATAATGTCTGTAGTTATTTTCTTATTCTTTTATGGTGTAAAAATCGACATTTATTACTGAAAGGAACATTGCCTAACTTGGACCTGTGTTGGTGGCTGTGTGTAGTTTAGAGATTGAGAGTGAGAGGAACAGCTGACAGCATCAACTCAGGCTATACCTACTTCTACTTTATTCTAACATAATGCACATAATGCTGCTCATATTTAGGGCCCCAACTAGTCATAAGTTGCTATGGTTTGGACGTTTTTGGACATGATGTTGTTAGGGGTTATGGTGCCGTGCATGTGCCAACTTCACCAGGAAGGTAAAATCTCTGAAATATCATTTGAAATCATAAAGAATTGAAACATTTACTAGTATTTATGATGAACTAATAGCCACACAAGAGAAGTCTCAATGTTCGTACCAGAGTCATCGTCAAAGTTACAAAAATTTACCAGGTAACATCACTTGGGATTCCTGTGCTTATTGTAGTACACACACTTACTTGTGATGAACTGTGATGTTTCAGTTGGTTTTTGGGAAGAAGACCTGAATTTGTTGATCCTAAAGTTATAACTACAGGAGAAGGACGTGAAGGTATGATTATTGCATACCATTCCTAATGGACTTCGCATTCTCCAGATTCTGGTCTAGGCAGCATGCAATACATTGAGAACACTTTTCATCCACAAAGAATGTATATAGTTTGTGAGAAATTGTTGTTTATAAGATTCAATATGGTTGCCATATTGATACAGGTATGCCTCCTCAACCAGTCACTTTACTTATTCATGCTGCTTAAAATATTATCAAATAGCTGACTTTAGATATTTTGGTTCAGTGACCATGCACAAAAGAATTGCAGGAGGCTCTGGGGAAATAAAAAAATAAATCAAGCTATCCATTGTTTTTCCAGAGCCTTGTGTGCGTTCTTTTGTACATGGTCATCAAATCAAAATATCTAAAGCTATTTATGTAGCAGTCAACACAACATAAATTTGGAGCCATTTACAGGTGATCTGTATAAGGTTCAAAACAGCTCAAATAGTGCTCCATACTGTATGTTTTATCTATTTCTAATCATTCTTCTCATTATTAAC